ACACTTAAAATTAGTGTGTGTCATGTATATATATTATACTTTTAAAAAGTTATTGTTTTAAATGGGAGTTCCATTTTTAATTCTTTGAGAAAACTCCATACTGTTTTCCATAGTGGTTGCACCAGTCTGCATTCCCATTAGCAGTGCAAGAGGGTTACTTTTTTCTGCATCCTCACCAGCACTTGTCATTTGTTGATTTGTTGATGATAGCCATTCTGACAGGTATGAGATGGTATCTCATTGTCATTTTGATTTGCATCTCTCAGATGATTAGTGACTTTAAGCATGTTTTCATATGTCTCTTGGCCTTTTGTATGCCCTCTTGAAAAGTATCTATTTAGGTCCTTTGCCCATCTTTTGATTGGATTGTTTATCTTCCTTTTGTTAAGTAGTATGAGTTCCCTGTAAATGTTGGAGATTAAACCCTTATCAGTGATAGCATTGGCAAATATGTTCTCCCATGCAGTGGGCTTTCTTGTTGTATTGTTTATGGTTTCTTATCCTATATAATAAAAGGCAAATATGCAAATAGACCGAACAGCAGAACAACTGAACAACCAAACAACCCGTCTCTATGACGTGTGCTGACCACCTGGGGCATGCGTGGAATATGGCAGGTGTTGGCAGCAGGTGGCAGAGCATGGAATATGGCTGGCATCGGCCATGGCAAGATGGTGGAGCAGATGAGTGGGGGCACCAGACCAAGGTGGGTCACTGGTCGCTGTCATTAGGGGGAGCCTTTGGTGGTTACTGAAAATTCTTTGCTCCCGCCGGCTGTGGTCCTGCCCAGTGCTCGCACCTGCTGCCAGTGCTGGCCCCACTCACACTTACAGCTGGCGGCAGAGCCACCACTCTCACCCACTGCCAATGCCTGGCACCGGTCCCGATCTTTGGCGCAGTCAGCGGGTGCAAGTGACGGCTGCGGGCTCCGTTCATCCCTGAGGGCTTCTTCAACTACCCCTGCTCCTGTGGGGCGATTGGGCAGCAGCTGCCACTCACAGTCACATATGGCACCGGCCCCGCTCGTACCCGCTGCTGGTGTTGTCAGCGGGTGCAAGTGGGCCAGGCGCTGTCAGCGCATGGGAGTGGCATTGGTGGGAGTGGGGCTGGAGGCAGACAGAGGACCAGGGGTCACAGAAAGAGGGGCTGAGCGGGGGCACAGAGGATGGGCTAAGACCTGCCCCTGTATCCACCGCAGCCTCGCAGCCCAAGTTCCTTTCAAGGTGCATGAATTCATGCACTGGGCCTCTAGTCCTACATAATCCTATCTAATAATAGACAAACATGGTAATTAACCATACCTCTGCTATGCTTCCCATTGGCTAATCAGGGTGATATGGAAATTAACTGCCAACCAAGATGGCGGTTGGCAGCCACACAGCTGAAGCAAACATGAGGCTTGGTTGCCCCGGCGATGGAGGAAGCCAAGGTACCCTGCCTGCCGCAGCCCAGCTCTGAGCTCCGGATGCAACAATGTTGCAATTATAGAAGCTAAACAAACCCCAGATACCTGCTTTCAACAGGCTGGTCTTGGAGCTGGAGCCGCAACAAAGTTTCAATTACAGAAGGTAAATAAATCCCAGAATAAAAAAAAAAAAGAAAAAAGGAGAGACTAGGAGCTTCAGTTGCAGGCTTGGCCTTCCTGAAAACGGCCCTCCGCCCCTCATCCAGACTGGCCAGGCACCCCAGTGGGGATGCCCACCCTAAAGGGGGTGCAAGCAGCCTGAAAACAGCCTTCAGCCCCTCATCCAGGCTGGCCAGGCACCCCAGTGGGGACTCCCACCCTGAAGGGGGTGCAGGCAGCCTGAAAACAGCCCTCAGCCCCTCATCCAGGCTGGCCAGGCACGCCAGTGGGGACCCCCACCCTGAAGGGGGTACGGGCAGCCTGAAAACAGCCATCAGCCACTCATCCAGGCTGGCTAGGCACCCCAGTGGGGACCCCCACCCTGAAGGGGGTGCAGGCAGCCTGAAAACAGCCCTCAGCCCCTCATCCAGGCTGGCCAGGCACCCCAGTGGGGACCCCCACTCTAAAGGGGGTGCGGGCAGCCTGAAAACAGCCATCAGCCCCTCACCCAGGCTGGCCAGGCACCCAAGCAAGACCCCCACCCTGATCTGGGACACCATTCAGGGCAAACCAGCCAGTCCCCACCCGTGCACCAGGCCTCTATCCTATATAGTAAAAGGGTAATATGCAAACTGACCCTAACAGCAGAAAGACTGGGAATGACTGGTCACTATGACACACACTGACCACCAGGGGGCAGATGCTCAATGCAGGAGCTTCCCCCTGGTGATTAGTGAGCTCTCACATGGGGGAGCTCTGCTCAGCCACAAGCCAGGCTGACGGCTGCCAGTACAGCGGTGGTGGTGGGAGCCTCTCCTGCCTCCTCAGCAGCGCTAAGAATGTCCGACTGCAGCTTAGGTTTGCTCCCTGCTGGCAAGTGGACATCCCCCGAGGGCTGCTGGACTGCCAGAAGAATGTCTGATTGCCAGCTTAGGCCCAATCCCCTGGGGAGCAGGCCTCAGCCAGCAGATGGTCATCCTCCGAGGGGTCCCAGACTGTGAGAGGGCACAGGCCTGGCTGACGGACCCCCCCCCGCCAGTGCACAAATTTTTGTGCACCGGGCCTCTAGTCCTATATAAAAGCCTAATATGCTAAGTATCCAGTCATTCAACCAATCAAAATGTAATATGCTAATGATATGCTAAAGCCACTCAACCGGTCACTATGACGTGCACTGACCACCAGGGGAAAGATGCTCCGACCAGTAGGTTAGCTTGCTTCTGGGGTCTGGCCAATTGGGGCTGAGCAAGATAGGCCAGACACGCCCTGGAGCCCTCCCATGGTCCCTCCCTGGTTGGCCAACCTCCCACATCACTCCCCGGCCCTGATTGTGCACCGGTGGGGTCGCTCGGCTTGACCTGCACCCTCTCACAATCCAAGAACCCCTCAAGGGATGTTGGAGATCCAGTTTCAGCCCAATTCCACAGGCCAGGCTGAGGGACCCCACTGAAGCATAAATTTGTGCACCGGGCCTCTAGTTGTTTAAAGGAGCCTATCTAGACCATTAAGTACATAAATCTTTGTATTTTTTTTCAGATAGTAGTTACCCATGCTTTCATAAAACTATCACAGTTGAATGGTCCAAAATAAATCATGTAAGAAATAGGAATTTGTTTGATTTATTAAAATTAATGTGTTCTTAATTCTAAACTCAACCAGATGTAAGCTTGATTAGATTAGCAATTATATTAAATCGAATGGGTATCTTATATTAAACAACCTAATTCATTTCTCATTCATTCATAATAATTTTCAATTGTATTAATCATTCTGAACATATTTTTTAAAAAGGGTGTTATTTTTTTAAAAAATAGAGAAAAAAGAGCTCTAAAGTGGCACCAACTATCCACCCCTCTCTTCCTTGATTACTTGCTCTTCATTGCTAGATTTTTCCAAAACATAGATGGGTGATAAAGAAAATGTTAATGATTCTTCTTAGATAATGGCTTGGCTGGGGTGAGGCTGCATGTTTTCAGTTAGCTGGCTATTCTCACAGAAAAAGGTGTCAGAAATATTGTCTATTTGGTTCACTAATATAGTTTAAACACTAATAATGCCTGGTACACAGTGACCTTCTATTAAAATTTTGTTGCAGTCTTTTTTATTAAGCGGGGTCTTAAAGTATCATATAAATAAACAAATGTAACTTCAAGGAGTCTTCAGGTATTTCTTTGTTCCTTCCCTCATTAGAAACAAATTGGCCCCTTATTAAACCAGTTTCTTTCAAGTCTAAATCTTAGGTAAGGGGACAGGGTATGGGATAGGAGGGTAAAGACAGAGCAAAAGTTCTTTCTAAAAGAATCACTAATATGTGATAGGTAACTTTTACAAGGAGACTCTACCTCAAGGTCAAAATCTAAATCTACATGTGGCAAGTTCAAGCTTACCAAAATGGTTGTTTGAAATCCACAGTAATTTTAAACCAAAACATACTCAATATATAACCTAAGCACATTATAAGCTTCCTACTCTTTTGCCAAGGGTAAAACTATATTTAATAATAGAAAAATTCCCAATACACAAGCTAACATCAGCTATACTACATCTCATATTGCAAGAATAGGTAACTATAAGCAGGACTTATTTTTGTGTGTGTACTAGTTATTAGGAAAATTTTAGAGATGCAAGTATATAGACCCTTTCAAAACTTTTAAATGTTGATGGCACTAGGAGTTCACTGCATACATTTTCCTTTCAAAATTTATGCCTTTTCTATTTACATATTTGCATGTATACTAAGTAAGCATTAGTCTTAATTTCATCTGCAATAATTTGTGGTTTTAGATGTTCAAATTGTGGTAGAGATATAAAGAAACTTTCCTAAGTTAGAGGAGAAAGTGCAAGAGGGTTTCAAATGAGCAATCAATGACCAAAAGATAAAAATTTAATAAAGGTACAGAAAGTGGAAAAAGGTGGCAACCACTAGTGCCTCATGACATTATTAAAAACATGTAGGAAGGTAAAGAAAGACAGTAGACACTCAAAATTAAATAGAAGCAAAGTAGAGCCACATATAAAAAGATATTTACACATCGGAAAGGCTTTTCTTTTTCAATAAACACAGGTTTTCTTATTTCTCACTTACAACTTTCAATGAACTACTTCCTCCTGGTTGACCAGAATCCCTTGAGTTACTCTCAATAGAAAAGCTCAGCATGATCTTTACTCTTTCTCTAAATCAAGATTAAAACACAAATTTCCAAAAGTGTTAGCTCCTGCCATGTTTTCTCATTGGTATTTATGGTAACTCATCAGATTTGATCATATTACATAACTATGTCAGACTGTGGTTTTATAATTATGAGTAAAACCTACTTCTTAAAACAATGATTCCTTGTGAATAAAATTATTTAATATGTAATCTACACATATGAATTTCAACTCTTTTTAAAAATAATTTAATGTAGACTTAAAAATCACAGGTTATTTTTCTTACCATTCAGTAAACAAGATAACCATATCCTCATGACTGGCATAATGTTCCATAACTTCTTTCATTAATCTCACTTTTTGGCCTCCTCCAATGCTATTAATTCCATCACCACCTCTCCACTCTTCTCCTTGACCAAGGACCTATCAATAAAATCAACATTTCATCCCTGAGCAAAATTTCAAATAAGAGTACCATAAAAACTGTAAGTCATCAGTAACTTGCATAGTATTACACAGTAACCACTTTTTAAACATTTCACTAAGTCATGAAACTAGAAAGCAAACAACGTGATACCTAGTCAGATCATAATTCTTTAATGTTTTCCACCCCATAAAAATACCATTCCCAATTTTATCATTTCGAAGTAGACTCTAATCTGGGAGAGGGGTGGGAGGTGGGGTGTCACAGAAATTATTTCTCATATTTTATTTCTATTTGTCCAGATTTAAAAAAAATGAAGAGAGTTTCCATAACACTTTTCAATAGGGCAGGAAATCAGTATGAGAAACACTGAAAGCCCTTGAAGCTCAGTAACTCCTGATAGGGCCATCGAAAGTTTTCCTACTGAACCAGAATAGGTTTATGAGGGAAACATAAGGGGTGGGGGCATCAATCAAGCATTCCCTTCTTTATACATTACCCTCAAAAGCTTAACAGTAATTCATCTATGCAAGAAATTGCCTAAGCACAATTTATCAGAACTAAACTTGGAGCTGTTCTCAATAAGCAGATCCCTCCTGAATTAAAAGGTGACACAAACATAAACCTTGTATCTTTGTTTCACCTGAAGACTGAAATTCCCAAAATAATAATATTCTTGGAGATTTTTGAAATTAAGGATGAATGAAATAAAAAAATACAAAAGAAAAAGATAAAGTACATTTAGAAAATAAATAGTATTAGTTTCAATTTTACTTAACATTGAACCAAATATAAATCTGGCTGGCAAAGCCCATGGGCTCCCAACCTTACTTCTCTAGTTATCATTTCATGAAGGTTGGAGGAAAAAGGCTAACCAAGAAAACAAACTGATGTGAATCTGGATTCATACTGAAGCTAGTCTAGTAGATATTTTAGTTTTGGCCCTAAAATGTGACCTCCTGCCAGGCCTCTGTGGTTCAGTGGTTGAGCATTGACCCATGAACCAAGAGGTCACTAGTTCAATTCTCAGTCAGGGCACATTCCCCGGGTTGTGAGCTCCATCCCCAGTAGGGGGCATGCAGGAGGCAGCCAATCAATGTTGTTTCTCTCTCATCAATGTTTCTATCTCTCTCTCTCTTCCTTCCCCTCTCTCTAAAATCAATGAAAACATATTTTTTAAAAAAGTGGGCTCCTGCCCTGGCTGGTGTGCTAAGTGGTTAGCGTGATAGCCTGTGGATGGAAGGATTTCAAGTCCAGTTCCCAGTCAAGAGTATGTACCCAGGTTGCAGTTTAGATCCCCTATTGGGGCATATGCGGGAGACAACCAATCAATGTGTCTCTCTCACATCAATGTTTCAATGTTTCTCTCCCTTCCTCCCACTTTCCTTCAGTCCCTCCCTTCTATCCTTCCACTCTTTAAAAATCAATGGAAAATATATCCTCTGGTATGGATTACCAACAACAACAAAAATTGGCCGCCTCTGGCCTGAAGATTTATTAGTATTACACTTTCATTCTACAGCCCTCTTGGACTTCTCCAATACCTCAGTAATACTGTGCCCAGGCCCATCTGAGAGTCTCTGTACAGTGCACTATAGTAGCCTCAATTCTGCTCAATTTTCTCCTTTCATTCCACTAAATCAGTATTTCAAACTAGACCCTGCATGTGAATCACATGGAGGGCTTGTTAAAACACAGACTTCCACATCCTGCTCCCAGAGTTCCTGATTTGGCAGGTCTGGGGTGGCATCTGAAAATCATTATTTCTATTTCCCAGATGATGCTGATGAACTCTGAGAACCATCCTATCCTAATATATAAAAACTCAAGGTCCGTAACGACCGACCAAAGGCTCGACCGAACACTGGAAGTCAGTTCTGCAGTCAGTGCTGGGTTGCTGTGGTGACATAGCACTGACTGCCGCTGCTGCGGGCACGGCGACCCAGCACTGACTGCTGAGAGGGCTGCAGATCAGGCCCGGAGAGAGGCAGGGTCTGATCTGCAGCCTCAGTGGCAGCTGTTGATCAGCCGTTGCCTCTCTCTTTCTCTCAGGACTTCGCCAGCAGCCATAGCTCTCTTTCTATCCACGCCTCCGTGGGGGCTGCTCATCAGCCCCACCTCTCTGATCAGGCCTAGAGATAGGCCTGGAGATGCTGAATGGCATAGAAACTGACCAATCAGAACCAAATATGGGTGAACTGCGAGGAGCCAATGGCTGCCTAGGAGGCGGAACTTCTGACACTGACTGGCATAGTAACCAACCAATCAGAACCTAATCTGGGTGAACTGCGAAGGCAGAACCTAAGGTGGGGGCTGAGGAGGGGTTTTAAGAGCAACAGCTGTTTGGTGTAAGGTGTAAGAAAGCAGTTCAATTTTTTAATGACCGGTTTGGCAGTATAGTGCATATGGCTGGCTATCAGTCCAGATATAGGGACTAGGTATTTTTGTCTGCCAAGAGCATCTCCTCCTGCTGAAAAAGTCTTCTCCCCCCCTCCCATTTAAGCAATCCTATTCAATATAATTGATTTATACTAATAAAAGGGTAATATGCTAATTAGACCAGGTCAACCAGCCATCTTCCAGATGTCCGACTTCCTTCCGGACAAAGCCATGGTGGTGGGGGCCAAGGCAGAGGCAGTTAGGGGCAATCAGGCCAGCAGGTGAGGGTAGTTGAGGGTGAGATCAGGCCAGCAGGGGAGGGCAGTTAGCAGTGATAAGGCAGCTAGCGTCAGTTAGGGGTGATCAGGCCGGCAGGGGAGAGCAGTTGGGGGCGAGATCAGGCCGGCAGGGGAAAGCAGTTGGGGGTGAGATAAGGATAGCAGGGGAGGGCGGTTAGGAGTGATCAGGCAGGCAGGCAGGTGAGCGGTTAGGAGCCAGTGGTCTCAGATTGCGAGAGGGATGTCCCCCAAGGTTTCCCCGATTGGAGAGGGTGCAGGCTGAACTGAGGGAACCCCCTCTCTGTGCACGAATTTCATGCACCAGGACACTAGTATAAACATATTTTCTGTTATTTTATAAACATGTTTATACAAAGAATTAGCAAGTATTATTGTCTGAGTGGCAGAGTATTAATAAGGCCAAAATTTATCTTTAAAACAATCAAGTATATATAAAATTTAATAGCAACTATGTAACCAAATTTCACCTTCCTCCTTTGGATTACACTTCCCGTTGTTACTATTGTTATAAAAATGTACTTTAGGCACATATTTTAACGTCTCCATGAATTAAAGTTATACCATACCTTCACAGTATAATTGAAGTATTTGGCTGACTGCATAAACCGATGAAATCCATCATTTTCTTTTGTTGCTATAGTTATGACTAATAATTTATCTGGAAAAATAGAAGGAAATATTATAAGATGGTTTACCAAGAAAGAAGTTAAATGCTCCCATTTTACAATCACTTGCACCCATGGGAATGCTCCAGTTTATTAATATACATAAGGATAAACAAAGAGCTGTTCAATAAATAGGCACCTCAAGCTGGTTATACTACTGCCAAATGATGAACCACAGAAAAGAAATCATTTTACTGGTAAGAAAGTGCAATGATGTTTTTGGAAAAGCACACTCTTGACAAGATTTTCAACCCTAAAATAAAAATCACTTCCATAAAATACACAAAATTTTTATCTGTAAAGATAGACTCTCTTAGGTATTACCTAATCAACCAGCTTCACTGTCACCTATAAATCATCACTGATTTATTACACACATCAATGAGGTCTGGAATCACATGCTATGACTCAAAACACTAGCATGCACAAAAATAAAAGATCCAATCATGAGACTGGTCTTAATTTTAAAAAATAAGTTATGATAAATTGGGAGCATATACTTAGAAACAGAATCTTACTTTTTTCTTCCTATTAATGAACTTTTGTATAAGTCTACAAAAGCAACATTTACATCACACTCAACACTTTGTGTTTTTTTCTTAAAGAATAAAAGAAACATCTTTACTTATACAGCTCCTAGAGCAATGGAAACTAAGGAGAAAATAAACAAATGGGACTGCATCAAAATAAAAAGCTCCTGCACAGCAAAAGAAACCATCAACAAAACAACAAGAAACCCCACTGCATGGGAGAACATATTTGCCAATGTTATCTCCGATAAAGGTTTAATCTCCAACATTTACAGGGAACCCATACAACTTAACAAAAGGAAGATAAAACAATCCAATAAAAAAAATGGGCAACGGACCTAAATAGATACTTTTCGAAAGAGGACATACAGGCCAAGAGACATATGAAAACATGCTCAAAGTCGCTAATCATCTGAGAGATGCAAACACCATCTCACACCTGTCAGAATGGCTATCAACAAATCAACAAATGCAAGTGCTGGCGAGGATGCGGAAAAAAAGGTGGTGGAATGCAAACTAGTTCAGCCTCTGTGGAAAACAGTATGGCATTTCCTCAAAAAGTTAAAAATGGAACTCCCATTTGACCCAGTGATCCCACTACTAGGAATATATCCCAAGAAACCAGAAACACCAATCAAAAAGGATATATGCATTCCTATGTTCATAGCAGTACCACTTACAATAGCTAAGATTTGGAAATAGCCTAAGTGCCCATCAGCAGATGAGTGGATTAGAAAACTGTGGTACATCTACACAATGGAATACTATGCTGCTATGAAAAAGAAGGAACTTTTACCATTTGCAATAGCATGGGTGGGCCTGGAGAGCATTATGCTAAGCGAAATAAGCCAGTCAGATAAAGATATAAGTATCACAAGATCTCACTAATTTGTGGGATATAATGAACAACATAAACTGATGAACAAAAATAGATCCAGAGACAGAAACACCAAACAGACCATCAAACCTCAGACGGAAGGCCGGGGAGGATGGTGGCGGGTGGGTAAGAGTTCAACCAAAGGACTTGAATACATGCATGTTAGCATAACCAATGGACACGGACACTGGGATGGTGGGGGCTTGTCCTGGGGGGTGGGAGTGGACAAGAAGGGGTCAATGGGGGAAAAGGGAGACATATGTAATACTTTAAACAATAAAAAAAGAATAAAAGGAACCAGAGTCAGCCCTGATAAATACAAAGCTTTCAATCCCCACTTTATATTGGATTATTATTTTCAGTCTAACAAAACACTCCCTCTTAGTAGAGCAGTAGATAGATTTAAGGAGTCATTTCAAAATACCTATAGAAGCTATTAAAGAAAATGCTTATTAGGAAAAGACATGTCTTAAAATACATAAAAGAAACAACTGCATCAGCAAGTGCTAAGTGTGCTAGGACTTTTTTTTTTTTAACCTGAGTATACAGGATGACCAGTGGACTAAGAAAGCAAAACTAACATCTTTTTGACATTCAGGGTACTGGCACAGAGCTATATGATTTGATTCTCATTTGCCTGTTATAAATAAGAAAAAAATTCAGACTGTCTTAAGTGTCCCCTAAGCAGTATACAATCATTGACAACAGCACTTAATGCCAATAAAGTAGCATTAAATAAATCAATTAAAAACAATTGCATATGACCCAAGGTAATCATCAAAATTTGAAAATAATTTAAACCACAGAGCATAAATAAGTGCAATATATATAAAGAATACAGTCAAACATTCATTAGTCAACCCCAAAAGAAAAATAGTTCCATAAAAATAAATATCAGCATTTTCAGATGATTTTTTTTCTGTTAAGATATTTCTCACCATTCTGATAAATAAATACTCAAGGAAAAATAAGTCATTTTCATAAAGAAGTCAGGCCCCAAGTAAATAAATATTAAGAGTACTTTTTCAATTTACTATTCTTTTTTTATTTAAAAAAAATCATTTGTAATGTTTCAAACAATACCTGATTAAGAAAATCTGACATATTACCATTCAGAAGAAAATTTGAAATACTTTTTATAAAAGTAAAGAACATGCTTTTTAAAGTTTCTTTTCTCTGTAATATGACTATTTAAATGTAGCTTTCTTTCTTATCTTTTTCGATATAAATCATAAAAATTAGCTATAAGTTTAGATTTTGACTGAATAGATTTTATGCTTACCATTTCCAATATAAAATTAACAGCAAGGATTTATTTCAGTATTCTTAACAGGAAAAGTAATGTTGGCCAGACCCTTGAGCAGAGAGATGTTACCTAATGCAATGACTCAGAAGGCAAAACTAAAAATGTGTAGGCTGGCAATCTTATGCTAAATGAAGACTCCTGCTGTTCCAATACTGTTGCTAATTACAAAAAAAATGCTAGTAAGTAATTTTGTTAAATGAAGGTATGTTGAATAACATTATACATAAACACCTGTTTCCTCTCACCTGATAATCAGTATCATTACTGTGATGAGAAATAAATCTTACTCAATTGGGGGAAATAGAAGAAGAAAGTGCTGACATGTACCACTTCCAAGCTCTCTCCAACCAACTCAAAAGTCTAACTTGCTCACCATTTATGAAGTGTTCTTGTCAAAAAAATTAACTTACATTTGATATACATACTTTAGATTTCACTAAAATTCACACTATAAATTTATCTAAAATGAAAAGACAAGACAATTGACCTAGAGCAGGGGTGGGCAACCTTTTTGTGAGTGCGTGCCAAAACCAGAAAAATCTCTGACTCAAAATTCTTCTGCGTGCCAACCCTAATTTTTTGAGAACATGTTATGCCTATTTGATATCTCTTAAGGTGTACGTATGTGAAGAACCTTGAAGAAATAATAAAATTCATTCGAGCAACAAAAACACAGTACATGATGATGAAAAATACATTTATTTTTTAATGTATACATGTACACTGATAGTCCGACAGAAAACTTTATGACTCCGTTTGATATTATCAGTGGAACTTTTGCTGCCGAGAGAAACATAGAAATTTATTCCCCTTTCATTAGTACCGGTGGGCAAAGCGAGAGAGAAGGTTTCATTTTTATAGTGAAATTTTGAATAAGTAGGTGAGGCGGTTGTCTTGTCAACAAAAACCCGTTGCATCTGAGGCTGAAACCAAAACACTGGTCGGATCTAGGAAGGCAGGGAGAGTTAAGGCAGAGGCATAGAAATTGCTCTTCCCTTCTCTTGTCAATCCATGTCTATGGTCTTTAAGATAATTTGTTATGTAAAATTATTTATTTATCTAAGATGCACCTACACTGAATTTATCTGAAAAATAAAAAAGTCGATATTAAGAAAAAAATTATAAATGGAAGATTATAAGAGAGGGTTTCGCGTGCCAGCAAAAGTTACTGGCGTGCCATGTTTGGCACGCGTGCCAGGGGTTGCCCACCCCTGACCTAGAGAATCAATGACAAATGTGAAAAAAAAGGAAGGGAAACTGTTACATATATTAACAGAATTAAGAGATAATTCAACCAAAGGTAAATCATGGACTTCTGTTGGGTCATAATTTGAAAAACTAACTGCAAAAGGTATATATGAGAAGATTAAGGAAATCTGAACACTAATTGGATATTTGTTGATATTCAGAAATTACTAAATTTTTAACATGCTAATGATATTGATTGTTTTTAAGTCCGTATAATTTAGAGACAGGTACAAAAGTATTTACACAATTAAAGGATACAGTGTTTTCAATTTGTTTCAACATTATTTGGGGTTCAATGGAAGGCAATGGAGAAGGAGAATAAAGATGAAACAAGACTGGCCATATGTGATGACTGTTAAAATTAGATTCCTGTTGTATATGTTTGGAAATTCCTATAATTAAAAACAAAGAGTTCAACCTTATGCACAGTCCCTAATCTTCCAACCAGAAAAATCACAAAATATTCAAAATAAAAATTTTTAACAGTCTAAGTCACCTAAGTAAAAGGAAAAATGAAATAGAGAGAAGGCAGAACTTTTCTAACCAAACAAAATTATAATTTAAACAACTATAATTAGTACCTTATCCAATCCATCCACAATAACTGAAATGATAAAGTGAGATGATAGGGGGAATGGGCTTGAAAAACAAACACCCATCAAACACTACCAAAACAAATCTATATCAAAGAAATGCAATGGAAGCTCAAGTGTGGCCAAATGTAACCTCCATAGCCACTGTGTTAGACTATTAATAGATTACAGATTACAGATTAGAAAACAAATTAAACCGAAACCGGTTTGGCTCAGTGGATGGAGCGTCGGCCTGCGGACTGAAGGGTCCCAGGTTCGATTCCGGTCAAGGGCATGTACCTGGGTTGCGGGCACATCCCCAGTGGGAGATGTGCAGGAAGCAGCTGATCGATGTTTCTCTCTCATCGATGTTTCTAACTCTCTATCTCTCTCCCTTCCTCTCTGTTAAAAATCGATAAAATATATTTTTAAAAAAAGAAAAAGAAAACAGATTAATACA